TTGTCCGCTCCGCAGTGCCGACATGATGTTGATTGTTGATCTTTCCTACCCCTAGCCAAGAATTCTCTTGTGGGGTAGACATTCGCCCGTAGTTGCAGGGCCGTGATGATTTTTCTGTGAGGAAAAATCAAATAGGAGTACACAAGAGCCACAGTGTACTCCCGCAGTCAAAAAGGCCTAGTGCACGCTGGGCTGCATTAGTAAGAATGTAACTAGTGGGTCCCCTGAAGTGATTCTGTCCCTCTACTTGGAACTTGTGAACCTATCTCTCAAGTCCTGCGTCCAGTTTTGGCCTCCCCAGTGCTAAAGACACTGACATACTGAAATTAGTCCACTGAAAGACAACATGATGCCCAGGAGCTTGGAGTACAGTGCATAAAAGAAGAGGCTGCAGAACTGGATGTGTTCTGCCTTGAAAGGAGAAAACTAACCAAAGACCTTACCAGTGTCTTCAATTACTTCATGAGAGTGGATACACAGAACCTGACTCTTCCTTCAGGGGCAAAGTGAAAGAACAAGGACCAGTGGGACCAAGTTGCAGCAAAGAAAATTCAATCAGATATATGAAAGAAATTCTTCACGACAAGTACAGGCAAACACTGGAGCAGAGGCTTAGAGGGACTATGAAATCTCCATCCTTGGAAACTGGTACTGCTCTTAGCAGGTAATCACCAGACGACCTCCTGAGCCCCTTCTTAAATTACATTAGTCCTCAATTGTACAACATAATGGAAGAAAGTATAAAGTCTGGCTGATGATGTGACATAAGCTCAACCTTAATTCTTTACATTCACTTGCACTGCATTCATTCTCTCAACACACTTTTAACTGTTGTACATTCAGTCCAAATAACCAGGGTAGAGCTTTACTTCTGTATATATTTAAAGGACAGCTGCATTGTTGAAGTATGAAACATTTTATGAATTGCATAGATAACATACCTGTTCAAAGCGGAGGGTAAGATTATTAGTCTCTGTTGTCTGGATTTCCCTAAGCCCAAATATAGTTTTAGCTTTTTCTGTGTTCTTGTTTCTTAGGACATGTTGCTTTCTTGCCTTGCTGAATTTACCATGCAAGTTTTGTTCCAGTCTCTGGGTGCCCAGTCTGAGATTGCTTTGCTCCACTAACATACCCACTAAATAAAAGAACAAAGTTGTCTCTCATCCTGCCTCAAGGATACACACTGACTCATGTAACAGATTTTCACTAATTTTAAAAGTAAGGGGAAATATTGCCCATAAATATTCCAGACTGACCAGCAGTATGCTGCAGATCTCGTTGTCTCTCATGGGGACAAATGGCACCCGGACAAGACGAATGCAAATTACCCTCACTCTTCAAGAAATAGCTGGTCACATCAAGGGTTTTGTTCCAGTGTCATAGGCTTGTTCATGTCCTCAGGTCACAGAATGCGCAACAGGAAAAGTTAAGTTACACACTGCTGGCAAATGCAGAGCTGGCAGAGACCAGTGTTCATACCAACATTATAAACGGTTACAGGATGCTATGTATAATATTTATATATGATATTACCGATTTATACTACAAAAAGGAGGGAAAAAAAGCTGTAACTCTTCCAGCAGGTTCTGCAACCTTCACTTGTACAGCTGAAACTTCTTGCAGTACACTTCTCCAGTGCTGGCACCTATTAGCACTTAATGATGAAATTTGCACAGAATGGTAGCATGAGAATGCTATGATCTGGAAAGTGGTACCTCTGAGCTCATATATAATAATTTCCAAGTAAACAGTTCAAAACTTTTCAAATTTACAAGTTGGCAAGTCAACCAGTCAACACACTTTATTTTGCTCCCAGAAAGGCACAGAGAGACATCATGATTAAAGAATATTTAGATTCATTTTATGAGAACATTTTGAGACAGAATAGTCCTTCTCAGCTCTCAGTGATCTCTCAGGATCCTACTACTCTGAAGAAAACTGATTTTTGGAATATCAGACCTTTTTGCATAGAACCAATCCCTGAACAAGGTCTCTACTAAGAAAGATTTTTTTCTAGGTGAGCTGCTTAATGAAAGCCTTAGAAACCTTCCTCGTACTATGTGAAAGTATGCAGAATAGCTGCTGATAAGAAGTCAGTTCATAAACTAGCATTTAGTTTGAATTAAAACCATCAGGACTCTATACCATACACAGTCATACTCTATAAAGACAGTAGGTAAGGATCATATACTTACCAGCTCTAAGGCCTACACCGATATGCCACCACAACTTACCCCGGGGTGGGGGGGAAGGAAGTTATTTCCAACACAGTTAAAGCCACACAGACACTGAAACTCCAAGGTGCCATTCCTATCTCTATGATGGAAGCTGGTGTAATTACAGAGAGTCACTTACTGGGGGAGGCACACTGCAAACCGGAAGGTGCTGCCCACTGAAAACCACTGAGCACCCTGGGACCTGCTGTGTGCTGCAGGCTGGGATGTGCTGGCCTGTGCAAAGTGGTATCCCATGCGGAGCCACCGTTGTCACTGTGTATGAGACAGGAACTGTGCCCTGATGGATCTGCAGCAAAAGGAAAAAAAATTTAGTAACTTACTGTAAACTGTTAGCAGTGTTGTACAGCACGATGAGTAATAATAAGCTTTTACCTACATATAAAAAACAATACATTCACAATGAAAGTGTAAAAGGAGGCATGTGCTTGTAATTCCTGTTCATTAAAAGATACTTCTCCCTGGAATATTACTTCTTGATCAGCAGTTTCTGGGCAGGCCAAGAGGGATCTCTCTGCTGAAAATGTTGAACTTCAAAGGCACCTTAGAGTCACTCAGAAGCATCTCAAACTCTTATTTGTGCTCCCCCATCCCATACTAAGGTTAGTCCTTACAAAATAAGAAGGCAGTAACTCCCACATAAAAGCTAATCTACAAGTAGCTAAAGAATCTTCTCAACTCTGAAGGGACTGATTCAATAATAAAGTCAGCGACTTCTATCTTTAAAGAACAAGAAAATCGTGCAGACTTTCTTTCTTTCAAAGTGAGCCACCTCTTGATTCACTCTCAGACCAACACACTCAGGCTAAGTCTCCTAACCCAAAACTAACAGACCAGCTATCTGGAAAGCTAAAGAGGAAAAGTAAACCTGACTATGAGGCAGCAGACCCTAAATATCCCCATTTGTATTAGGAAACAGACCAACATAACCCAATTTTCTAGCTAGTGATACTCCTTAGAATTTAATCATCAAACTAAGATCCAAAGGTATTCTGGACCCATAAACCAGAACAGCTTAGTGTTTTTCATTGTTTTTTGTGGGATTTTTTTGTGGTTTTTTGTGGGGTTTTTTGTTGTTTTTTTTTAAACACGAAACAAGGTATTTCTGATGCTCTAATAAATCTGAAAAGGCTTAAGTATCAGGGAGCATGGATTAATGAAATGTAATTATTTCAAGGAAGCTTCCTCTTCCTTCATGATCTGCTGAACTGGAACCTGCTTGCTTAAAATGAAACAAGTAAGATCAGATCATTAGGATGGTGAGAATGAGTAAAGGCAGCTAACCCACTGACTGGCAGCGTACAGTCAGACACAGAGGACAAAACAGAACACAGATCACTGAGAAAAACTTAAAATCTCAGCCTATGTATCACTAATGACAGAAACCAGTCTCAAGTGAGACAATTGAATTTGACCCAGTTCTGTCTCAGATACAAAAACTGGGCATACAGTGCAATGCTGTGTGTGATTCTGAAACACTGACTGCTCAGAGTAATAATAAAAAATGAACTCTCAAGATGGTTATGTCCCTGAAGTATAAAACACCACCATGGAAGACCTCAGTGAGTCTGGAAACACTGACATGTCATCACAGATGGTGCCTGGAAGTTAGAGGCAGTGGGATGGAACAACTGTTTATCCAGGTTTGTCATGATGTAATCTTGCAACACAGAGCAAGAGCACGATTTACATTTCTGAGGTGCTGCAGCAGTAAAATTGTTCTTCAAAATGTGAGATTGTGAGATGGCTAGAACAGCTTTAGCTTCCACCCTTGCATTTGGTCCCAAATGAGAACTGCTTTCCAAAAGAGAGATACTCCCCTAGTGAGAACTGCTCTGCACACACAATACAACACACCAGTGGTTAAGCAGCCACATTGAATACAAACCAGTTTTTAAGCAGGGATGTTAGAGTGGCATTCTATATACATGCAGTTTGAGAAGCGGACATCTGGATAACCAGTTCTATATCCCAGTTCATGACTATGTAGCAACCAATGTGCCTGTGCTGCAGCCTGATGATTTAACGCACAAGAACAAAGGTGACCTCAATAGGACAACTTCTTTTACAGGTCCTCAGTTACAGAATTCTATACCAACTGCTGTTGCAGAGAGGAATTATGTACTTTCTGGACCAACCACATACTTCATTTTTTCATGTCCTTTTAGGAGGAGTTGATTAGGCTTGGATGGCAAATTTGGTTATGCAACAATACTATTATGAGTCCTGCTGTCATGTAGGCAACCAACTATGGGCACTGCAAATTCCATTTCTAAATAAAGTATTTTAATTTCAAAGAATTCTAAGTTAATGAGACATATTTCATGTGAAGCGGAATATATTCTTAACTATCACATCGTAACTTCATCACATTAACTTAAGAAACAAAATAACTGCATTTCAAAGGTTTGAGCTAAGAGGACTATGCCAATACATGCATTGAGAAACTGTTAAACACCAAATCTTCTCTATTAAAAGTCTGGACTTCCTTTTTTTTCCCCACTGCCGTGCTTCATACACCAATAACATTTAACAGGAAAAATGCTCTGTAAAAGGTCAAACAGAATTTAGTGTTATGTGACTTTCATTGACAACTAATTTGGGGAGGAGAGGGATCTTGCAGATTTGGGGGAAAAAAACCAAACACCAAGCCAAACCCTATGTTTCTGTAGCCTTCTGTTTGTACTCTAAAATTCTTACCTGATCATGGATGTCAACCATCACTGCATTCTGCTGTGGTGGGTGAGCAGCTGGGTGCAACATACGAGGAGATACATTCGGTGGGTGAAATGCTCGCGGCTCTTCTATTGCTTGCTGCTGTCCATAGGAGATATGGTGATAATTTTCATCCTGGCTAATGGAATTATGTCTAGACAAACGATCTCTCCTTGTTCTCTGACGTCGAACAGGAGGGCTGGAAATGCATTAAAAAAATTAGAGATTATATAAATGACACTAATCTTTCTTAATAACTAAAACCACAAGAGAATCAAGTATCAAGAACTTTTTTACACTGGAAAGTTGTACTACAACAGATTAATTAGATTGGAATAAAACTTCTTACTGACAAACTGCTAAAAGCCTTAGAGATGACACTTTTTTCAGCATAAAAGTGCTTAACAGAGCATAGCTTAACAGTGTAAAGAAAACCAGAAGGAGTCTTATGTAAATATTAAGCTGTTAAAAAAATGGCACTTGGATTCCCAAAACAAGTGCTCAAAAGTCAAGACTGCAAACTTCAAAAGATTCCCATGCGTTTATTCTAGGTAAAAATCCTTCATTACATGATCATAGATTTCCCCACAGTCCTTGCTCCAACCAGGCCACAGAACGGTTGCTCAGGCAGACAAAGCAGTAGACTCCTCTGCAGAAACAAATGAATTTTTCAGCTCTCACATGTTCATTACATAACTGAGTGCCTACAGAATCCTCTCCAGAAGATCCCAGAAAATTGTGATTTTGGTACTCTTTCTTTTGCAGAGTGGAGAACTGTTGTGTAGATTGACTTAGACCAGAGCATCCACTTCTTTTGAGCAACTGATCCACAGGCATGGGATTTGATTATGTATTCTTATATAATTGTGTGTATGTTCTGAGCAGAGCTGCTACTATCTTGAGACGAGACTTCTGTAAATCAGAGACCAGTGGCTCAGGTTCAACACGCAGAAAATGATGCACACACAAGCAACAAACCCACTATTAGACGTTTTGATCAAGTCACTTCTAATTTATTTTGAGGGGGAAAGAACGGAAAGCACAAAACCCTCCCCCCAGTACTTTCAATACATGCCTTCTAATCTCCACAACACATAAATTACAGGTCCCAGAGGCAACAGCAAATTAAAGCTACGTGGGACAAAACGGCTTCCCAGTCATGGAACAGGCTGAAGGAACTAAACTGCAGAGAAGAAACAAGAAGGGTCTGTGACCATTAAAACAAGTCCTCTCCAACAGCGCATGGAAGAGAACTCACTCTCACTACTCCCACTGCTATTACCAAATAAAAATCAAATAAACCTGAAACTTGTTGGCAAACTCCAGACATTCCTGAATTTCAGTCCAGCTTCTGCTGCGTGAAACAGAAATACTCTGGAGAAGGGGGAGCATGCTTCCAGCTATTCAGATGCTCCTGTAAGTATATCACAGTATCACAGAATGGTAGGGGCTGGAAGGGACCTCAGGGGATCATCTAGTCCAACCCCCCTGCCAAAGCAGAGTCATCTACAGCAGGCTGCACAGGACCTTGTCCAGGCAGGTCTTGAATATCTCCAGAGAAGGAGACTCCACAACCTCCCTGGGCAGCCTGTTCCAGAGCTCCGTTACCCTCAGAGTGAAGAAGTTCTTCCTCATGTTCAGATGGAACCTCTTATGCTTCAGTTTGTGCCTGTTGCCCCTTGTCCTGTCTCTGGGCACCACTGAAAAGAGTTTGGCCCCATCCTCCTGACACCCACCCTTGAGAAATTTATAAGCATTTATAAGACTCCTCTCTCAGCCTTCTCTTCTTCAGGCTAAACAAGCCCAGCTCCCTCAGCCTTTCTTCATAGGAGATATTCTCCAGTCCCCTCAACATCCTCGTAGCCCTCCACTGGACTCTCTCCAGTAGCACCTCATCTTTCTTGAACTGGGGAGCCCAGAAATGGACAGACTACTCCAGATGGGGCCTCACTAGGGCAAAGCAGAGCGGGAGGAGAACTCCCTCGACCTGCTGGTCACACTCTTCTTAATGCACCCCAGGGTACCAGTGGCCTACTTGGCAACCAGGGCACACTGCTAGCTCATGGTCAACTTGTCATCCACCAGGACACACAGGTCCCTCTCTGCAGAGCTGCTCTCCAGCAGGTCAGCCCCAAGCCTGTACTGGTGCATGGGGTTGTTCCTCCCCAGGTGCAGGACCCTGCACTTGCCCTTGTTTGAACTTCATCAGATTCCTCTATGCCCAGCTCTCCAGCCTGTCCAGGTCTCACTGAATGGCAGCACAGCCTTCCGGTGTATCAGCCACCCCTCCCAGTTCTGTGTCATCAGCAAACTTGCTGAGGGTACACTCTGTCCCTTCATCCAGATCATTGATGAAAAAGTTGGATAAGACTGGGCCCAGTACTGACCGCTGGGGGACACCATTAGTTACAGGTCTCCAACTAGACTCTGCGCCACTGACCACGGCTCTCAGAGCTCTGCCATTCAGCCAGTTCTCAATCCTCCCCACAGTCCTCACTGTGTTTAAATGATGCTTGGCCATTTCAGAAAACATTTTTGTCAAACTGTCAAATCATTGTCTTCCTGGATTTTTTTTTAAATATCTCTGGTATTTTCCTTAGGTATTTTAAAATCACAGATCATCTTCTAGATTTTTCTAGGTGCAGATCAGAACAAATCAGGCAAGTAACCTTTTAGATCAAATTTTCTTTCCTAAGTGTGTCATTGACCCTTAATGTACTCCTAGTTAGGAGAAGGTTTAGTCAGTCCTGTTAAGCAAACACTTCAGGTACTATGTCAAACATCCATCTGATATAGCTATCATCATACACCTCTAGGTTAGCCCATATGTAGACAGATTCAATACCAGGGCCTTCCTCATTGCAACACTCTGACAACATTCCTGAACTCCTCCCAAGTGGCCTGTCTCTCTTTCCACATTTCATAGACCTTTCTCTTCCACCTGAGCTTCACTAGAAGCTCCTTGTTCATCCTTGAGGGTCTCCTGCCTCCTTTGCTAGATTTCTTGCTCAGGGGCATGCACTGATCCTCATCATGGAGGAAGTGATGCTTAAACAGCGACCAGTTCTCTTGGACCCTGTTACCACTCTAGAGCCATGACCCACATGATTCCTTCAAGTAGCTCCTTGAAAAGGCCAAAGTTAGCTCTCCTGAAGTCCAAGGTTTTGATACTACTTATTGCCCTGCTTCCTCCACACAGGATCCTG